AAGAAATATCTCAAGACTGATTTTTCTAAGGTTTTATGGACTGATGAAATGAGAGTGAGTCTGGATGGGCCAGATGGATGGGCCCGTGGCTGGATTGGTAAAGGGCAGAGAGCTTCAGTCCGACTCAGACGCCAGCAAGGTGGAGGTGGAGTACTGGTTTGGGCTGGTATCATCAAAGATGAGCTTGTGGGGCCTTTTCGGGTTGAGGATGGAGTCAAGCTCAACTCCCAGTCCTACTGCCAGTTCCTGGAAGACACCTTCTTCAAGCAGTGGTACAGGAAGAAGTCTGCATCCTTCAAGAAAAACATGATTTTCATGCAGGACAATGCTCCATCACACGCGTCCAAGTACTCCACAGCGTGGCTGGCAAGAAAGGGTATAAAAGAAGAAAATCTAATGACATGGCCTCCTTGTTCACCTGATCTGAACCCCATTGAGAACCTGTGGTCCATCATCAAATGTGAGATTTACAAGGAGGGAAAACAGTACACCCTCTGAACAGTGTCTGGGAGGCTGTGGTTGCTGCTGCACGCAATGTTGATGGTGAACAGATCAAAACACTGACAGAATCCATGGATGGCAGGCTTTTGAGTGTCCTTGCAAAGAAAGGTGGCTATATTGGTCACTGATTTGTTTTTGTTTTGTTTTTGAATGTCAGAAATGTATATTTGTGAATGTTGAGATGTTATATTGGTTTCACTGGTAATAATAAATAATTGAAATGGGTATATATTTGTTTTTTGTTAAGTTGCCTAATAATTATGCACAGTAATAGTCACCTGCACACACAGATATCCCCCTAACATAGCTATAACTAAAAACAAACTAAAAACTACTTCCAAAAATATTCAGCTTTGATATTAATGAGTTTTTTGGGTTCATTGAGAACATGGTTGTTGTTCAATAATAAAATTAATCCTCAAAAATACAACTTGCCTAATAATTCTGCACTCCCTGTATGTAAAGAAAGTATTTCAAAGTATTTCAGAAGACTATTTAATTCATTCAAATCTAGAATGTGTTATTTTTGTGTTCCCTTTATGTTTAGGTGTAGGTGTGTCTGTGTAGATTGTGGGTGAGAGCTCGTATAGTGGAGGTATGAACAGAGAGACCCCGTTCCATTCGGCCAAGAAGTTACTCCACATGTGCAAATCTGTCCTCGTAGGACCATCCAATATAATTGGGCAGGAGTTGGGCACCCCATGGAGTAAACACAGTAGCCTAGAGCCAAAGGATCTGCCCTGCGGAATGATACGCATTGCGAAGTTAAGGGACCCCAAGAAGGACTGGAGTCCCTTTCTGGTGCATGTATCACTCCGCAGAAACAGGCCAATTTCGTCCCTAATGCGGGTCAATTTATCAGGTGGAAGGCTGGCTTGAAAAGATATAGTGTCTAAGACTATGCCCAAGAACACTAGCTTTCTTTACTTGGTGACAGTGGTACCTCTAGTGTAGTGAAAAGGGCTGTGGTGCTGTGAATACTACTTGGTGTTTGTGAGCCTGGTTCTACCAACAAAAAATCGTCCAAATAGTGGATAACAGACGGACACTTAACTATGTTTAGGAGCAGCCAAAAGAGGGTCTCTGCGAAAATGTCAAATAGCTTGGGGCTGCTCCTAGACCCGAAAGTGAGCCGGGTAGAGAAATAATACCTGTCCCGTCATTTAACACCGTGCAAGTGCCATAGTGAGGGGTGAATGGGTAGGAGCTTGAAGGCGTTGGTAATATCGGTCTTGCTCAACCATGCCTTACTGCCTGCTGTGATGATAGCTTGAATAGCATCGTCAATTTTTGCGTAGTGCAGTGAAAATTCCTCTGCGGGTATGAGAGACTTGATGCTGTAGATGGAAGAAGAATGAGGTGCAGAGGTCAATAATCAATCTTTTTTTATTTGAATACTTGTGTACGGCTACCCCGATGTTGTGGGGTTTTTACTGCGCACCCTGTACTTTGTACTTGTTTTTCACATTTTATGTAGTGTCTTGTGAGTGACTACAGAAACTAGGGTTGCTGCATTTCCACATTTTAATCAGGGCCAATCCATCCATATTTTATTGTTTTTATCTTTGGTTGTTTATATGCACAATCAGTTCACATAGCCAAAGAATTTCTGCACAGACTGTCAGAAACCGTCTCAGGGAAGCTCATCTTAATGCTCGTCGTCCTCATTGGGGTCTCTACCTGACTGCAGTTCGTCGTCATTACCGACTTGAGTGGGCAAATGCTCTCATTCGATGGCATCAGGCATTTTGGAGAGGTGTTCTCTTCGTGGATGAATGCTGGTTTTCAATGTACAGGGTAGATGGCAGACAGCGTGTATGGCATCTTGTGGGTGAGCGGTTTGCTGATGTCAATGATGTCGATCAAGTGGCCCATGGTAGCAGTGGGGTTATGGTATGAGCAGGCGTGTGTTATGGACAACGAACACAGGTGCATTTTATTTATTGCATTTTTAATGTACAAAGATACCGTGACAAGATCCTTAGGCCCATTGTTGTGCCATTCATCCAAAACCATCACCACATGTTGCAGCATGATAATGCATTGCCCCATGTTGCAATTAACACAATTAATGTACACAATTAATGGAAGCTGAAAACACCCCAGTTCTTCCATGGCCAGCATACTCACTGGACATGTCACCCATTGAGCATGTTTGGGATGCTCTAGATCGGCATATACAACAGCGTGTTTCAGGTCCTGCCAATACCCAGCAACTTCGCACAGCCATTGAAGAGGAGTGGACCAACATTCCACAGGCCACAATCAACAATCTGATCAACTCTTTGTGAAGGAGATGTGTTGCACTGTGTGAGGCAAATGGTGATCGCACCAGATACTGACTGGTTTTCGGACTCCCCTGGATGTACCTGGACGTACCTGGACCTCCCCACCCCCAATACAGTAAAACTGCACATTTTAGAGTGGCCTTTTATTGTGGCCAGCCTAAGGCATACCTGTGCAATAATCATGCTGTCTAATCGGCATCTTGATATGCCACACCTGTGAGGTGGATGGATTATCTCAGCAAAGGAAAAGTGCTCACTAACAGATTTAGACAGATTTGTGAACAATATTTGAGAGAAATAGGCCTTTTGTGTACATAGAAAAAGTGTTGCGTTTATAATTTTGTTTAGTATATATATATATATATATATATAATTTAAGAGTGGAATCTTGAATATTTTGTATGTTGTTTTTTTTTGTTTGTTTTTTTAAGAATTACACTGTATGTATTATTTTCAGGTGAGAACTGACTTGCAAAATGTAGGATAAAATAAAAAAGCTGGAGGAAAACCAATCCTGCAGAGATGTAAACTGGCTCACACAATTATTTTAGTATAATTTTTGGGTCTAAACTTGCCACTTCCATTGGTTATCCAGTTTCTAAGATCTTGTATGTAACCTCTTGCTTTGAAAGGCAATCTTTAGGCATTTTTTGTAATTGGTGTTAAGTGGTTGGATGAAGCAAACCTGCTCAAAGTGTTAGCCCTTTATATAAAAAAAAAACAAAAAAAAACAGACTGTGTTTTTGTATTTAAGAATACTAAAAACTGGAATATATTTATGTATTATTTTTATGGGAAATCCTTTAAAAAAAATAAATAAAACAAATACATTATTATTATTTATAACATGCCAACAAATCCCGCGGAGCTGTACAATGAGTAGATTAACAAACAAGTATTTGTAACCAGACAAGCTGGACGCACAGGAACAGAGGGGTGGAGGACCCTGCTCAATGAGCTTACATGCTAGAGGGAGTGGGGTACAGTGACACAAAAGGTAAGGGTAGGAGGGCGTAGCTAACCACTATACCGCACGGTCTCACGGGCTCCAGCAAGACGGTGGCAATAGTTGCTAATCCACAATACCACTACTTTCACCTCCACCGAAACAACACCTGCCACAGACAATGGTAAAAAAACAATCCCAAAAATCCAGAGGCTCAGGGGGAGAGCATACCCGAGATATCAGGATTCTATTTTCACAAGCAGGTAGACCCAAGATGGTCAACCTGTTGCCTGACTCACCTCATGGCTCCACATCAGTGTCCAAGGATGAAGTAGAGTACCCTACAGAGCTCTGGCCACAGCCTCGGGGCAGCAAAGCCCTGTTTAAACGGCTACCTGAACCTCAGTGGGCTAATAAATCTAAAATCACAATGATGACTACCAACATCAAAGCCTTCTTCTCCTCCGAAATGGCGGTGATAAAAACAGACCTGAATGTGCTGTCTGGCAGAATAAAAGCCACAGAGGACAGCATCCAGAGCCTGGGCATCCAGCAGAACACCACTGCAAATCTGTTCCATGAGATCGCAAACGCATACACAGTGCTCAGTGTTAAGGTGGGACAGCTTTAAGACATTACACGCCTACACAATCTAAAAATCAGGGGATCCCTGACATTATCGATGCTGGCAAGTTGCCATAGTTCATAAGACGGCTAATGTCAGCCACCCTACCACCCAAGCAGGCCAA